GCGGCTTTCGAGGACGCAACGAGGCTCTTCTACTCCAAGAAAGAGGTCAACAAGTACAACGGCAAGAAACTCCGGGAGCTGGACAACCCCGTCGCTCGTGTTAGCGCCGTCCACACGGGCGCGAACGCCAGGAGGGCGACAGCAGACACCGCGGAGGGGCTCGAGAGGGACCTCTACTTAGCCAAGGGAGCGAAGGTTATGCTCTCGAAGAACCTGTACCAACAAGTTGGGCTGGTGAACGGCATTAGAGGCGAAGTCGTCGAGTTGGTGTGCGCAGATGATGCGCCCCCGCCGAAGCTCCCCCTTTACGTTGTCGTCAAGTTTGAAGGGTACTCGGGGGGGGAATGGTCGTCTCAGGAGAGGTATAGACGTTGTGTCCCTATTTCTCCCGTCGACACCACCTGGCAGGACGGGGGGACGCAGGTCAGGACGCAGCTGCCCCTTAGGCTCTGCTGGGCAATTACGATGCACAAGTCCCAGGGGCAGACTTTAGCCAAGGCCGTCATTGACTTGGGGCCCAAGGAGGCCTGCACGGGGCTTACTTTCGTCTGTCTCAGTAGGGCGAAGAGACTTGTGGACCTCATGGTAGAGCCCATGAGTTTCGACAGGATTGGTAACCTTGGAAATTCGCCGACGATGAAGGCTAGGCTGCAGGAAGAGGTTAGACTTGGGGAGTTAGCACAGAGTACGAGGGTCAAGTACACGGACATGGGCGTCTTCAGCGCCGTCGCGGGTAACCAATGACGTGAATTGCAAAGAGAAAAAGAAGAAGAAAGGGTCTCTTCCACCTCCCGCGGACGCACACGTCTGACGACAGTTACATCTATCAGCTGTCGCTCGTTTTAGCGACAGCTACTATATCTTAATAGCCTACCTAGCATTCTCCCTTCTTCCCCTCGCTCCTCGACAAGCTTTTGCTTACAACGTGGGTTGTAGCGAAGGGGGGGGTCTTTCTGGCGAGCAGGGCTAGACTCACCCTCAAGGGATGACCGAAACCTTCTTGCTGCTGCGCATATCCGCCGCGAGGCATGCGCGTGGTGGTGTAGTTGGGTCGGCACTGATGGGGTCAGGCGAAAAAATGTAGATGCGCGGGCCTCTGGCCGTCGGCGTAGGCAGCGATGCCCATCTCATTTTTTGTGCGCGGAGGCAGACACCGTCAGAAGGTGGACGGGCACTATGTACACGGCCCTAGGTTTGCTAGCTGCATTGCCTCAGTAACCTGGCTTCGCCATCAAAGGAGGAAGGAGCAGGTGGCGACGAGCTGAACTAGGCTGGTTGACCATTCGGCGCGAGAATTTTTTTTTTTCAGACCAAGAACCTTGAGTGCAATGAGGGAGAAAGCGAGGAATGGACTAGGAAGGACAGCAACGAGAGCGTGTACGGACGGAGCAGGTCGAGTGGCGTTTTGCTCGGGCTGACTACAGCGGCGCCGGATGGAGCAATGGCACCGGAGAATGCGGGCGACATCGACCCGTGGCGCACGGACAAACATTTCTGTGTAGTCAAGTTTTTTCGTTTTTTTTCTGACTTTCCGTGTTGGTTTTGTGTGAGGGCATCGTTTTAGATCCTCAGATGGCTCTAGCACTTTCGTGACCACGGGCCGAGAGTCTTTGCTAGATTTTGGCATTTAGCAACTGGAATACGGTTTAAGGGGGGGCAGTCAACCCCGGAAAAAATACCCCTCTGAACCGTAACAAAAAAAACACATGAAACCGAAAAATTTATGCGTTATTGGGGGGGGGACATACAAGCGGTGAAAACACATGGCTGCAGGGAGCGGTCCCTTACATAGCCCGGCACAGCCCCCATACAGCCGCGACGGGGACACTAGACCACCCACTTGCACACCAGCACTAGGCAGATGGAAGGTGTGGAGATCCCCGCAGCGAAACGGGCCCGCAAGTCCATGGACGCGAGGCAGACACCCGACAAATCGGAGTCTTGCGCGGCGGCAGAACAGCCTCCTCAGCTGCTACAACAGCAGCAGCAGCAGCAAGTTGGGTCCCAAGACAACACAGCAGTGCCAGCAGCGGGCGGGGCGTCACGTTCCATGACCGCCCGGCCTGACGGGGCTGCGGAGGAGGGCGGGGAGGATACGCTTTTCGACGACCCCGTGGAGGTGGTCGGCGAAGAGCTCGAAGGTTTACTGCGGCTCTCCCCCCCAAGCACGTCCAGCACGCCCGTGTTGGCCATCATCACGCAGCACGCGATCGACTCGCCAGAGACGATCCGCGATTTTATTGAAGAGACAGCAGCCAGGCTGGCGAAGGAGTCGGGATGCCAGCATGAGGCACCGCTTGTGACTTGGAAGCAGGATCGGGAAGCAGCTACGACGTGCGGGCGCCTCCAGGCTGGTGTCCTCAGCCGGGTGAACATGCAGGCGAGCACCCACGCAACTTCCGATAGCGGTTACTGCTGTGGAATTATCTAACGAAGCAGAGATGCCGTATGCATACGTACTGGCGAGTCGAGGGCTACTGTCGACCTCGGGTATTACGATTACAAGAGGTATCTGGGTCAAGTGCTTTCCATACTGTGTAACCCGAGTGGATTTACCCTGTCTTTGTTCTTGTACCGGTCCGTGCTGGCCTTGGTCCTCTGTTCCTCTGTCCGGTGCAGTTGACCGACAACGACCTTCTTCCCCTTCCTGTCACTTGCCTCCATCTTTTCCGCCGCCCTGTTTGTGAGTGGCGGTAGACCCATGTGACTGCGGACCAGGTTAGCGACGCCCACCGGGCCATCGTCGTGGGTTCGATTCATCATCGCGATCTGTGCACGGGACCAGTGGGTGCGGTTGAAGTCAGACCTCTTCGTCGCCTTTGCCGCGATGGTGCCGTTCATGCTCTCGAGGAAGTTCGTCCCCAACCCATACATGAAGGCTCTCGAACGAATGCAGGTCGTAATGAACGTGATATGGCAATCGCAAGATGCGCACGGCTGTGACGCTCTGATGTGACCCCCCAATCCGTTGCAGCAGTGCGAGAAGAAGGTCCACTGACGACTGTCCGACCATGCCTGGTGACGCACGGAGGACCTGTTGGGGTACAGAAACACGGTGCCGGGCGCATGCGGTTGTGTTGAGGGTTGAAGTGAATTTTTCTTGCATCTGCTGGGTCAAAACGAAAAGTCGATGGGCCGTGGGATTTTTCCTCGTGTCAAAAGAGGGCGGTAAGGGTGTCACACTAATGTCGGATAGAAGGGGTCGTCTGTGTTCTACTCAGCCGGGGTGTGTACGAGTAAGTTGAAGACTATGGGGTGTCGGCGTGATTGTCCTTCGTCCTAGTAGTGCGCCGAACATGTACGTATTGAAATCGGATACCCTGCGGAAGGACAATGTTGCACCCGTAGAACCTACGTTTCGCGCTGAGAGGATCCGACCACAGACACCGTCAGTGTGCGGCCCGTCTCTTTCCGGAATATCCTTTCTGCCTCCAGAACTGCTGCCGACGCTCCGATGTACGCCTCCTTGCGCCCCTGGAAATTGTAGGGGGCGGGGGGGCGAGAGAATATATCAAACGCTGCTCGGGCTGTAATCGGCTTACCGTTTTCTCTTGAAGTACAAGACTGCCAGCTGTGGTCCATAATACACTGAGCCGTTATGGCGGAGCAAAAAATAAATCGAGTTGGGGGGCAAACAAAGTAACAGTCCACCTTGGATTGCGTGAGTGCCATCGCTTCTTCGTCGTCTGCTTCTACGGAGCGCATGTTCACAAAACTGACTCCCGCACCTGGATTTCCCTGGTTTGCACTAGCCGTGCAGGTCCATCACACGGGCTAGTGTAGCCTTCCTCGGTCCGGGCAGGCTCCCAAGGCCCTGGGATGCCAGCGAGCGGTACTTGTGTTGTCCGTTTTTCCTTCTCCGACATGTGCTGACCACACAAAACCAATATTTCCGTCATAGAGCAAGGGCGGATAGAGGAGAAGGGGAGGAATCGTGAGGGTATAATATGCATGGACGGACGGGTAAAATTGCGAATAGGAAACGACGTGTGCGCATCTATGCGAGAACCATTCGTCTTCACCTTCGACGGCACAGCCGCAGTTCATGAATAAGACTAACAGGCAATTTTCAAGCCCTACACTCACCCCGTGTACTCCCGCGCATGCCCGTTCCAGATCGGCGCGAGTGGAATCCGCCACATCTGAGACTCGCCGCGCTGCGCCCGTGGCATCCATTACCGCCTGGTAAAAGCTGTCGAGCATTGCCTTCCCCCTATCGGAGAGAGACTCCGCCCCCCCTGCCGCCCTGAAGAAGAGTATCGTCAACGAGACTCTGACCCACAGCTGCTCCTTGACCTTGGACAGGCTGACCGTGTCGTCCAACGTCTGTCTGAGGCTGGCGGCCGTGAATTGCGACCCCCTACACGGTCGCAGACTTTTCTTTCCGCCCTTCTTGGCGACATCTTCGCCGACACCTGCCGCCGATGAGGCCTCGGCGTCACCGGCACCCGGCGTCGCCCTCGTGACGGGGTTTTGCGGCATCGCAGTTGCACCCAAGTCAGGCTCGGAGTCCACCCGGAGTTCTTCTATGTCGAATATGTCAGGTTGTTCCACGTTCCCAGCCCGAGGCTCCTCTCCTTCCGCAACATGTTCCTCGGCCCCGGCGCACCCCGAGGAACAGTACTTGTGAACGCCTGAAGGTTGGAGGGAAAATGGGCAATAATGCGGTCGAGAGAGGTTCAGCCTAAAAAACTAGAAAAACTTTCATTGATCGGCACACTTGCTGGGTTCGCTGCAGACATATGTATCGGAAAAACCAAAAATCTTACTTCCGCACCTTGTAGGTGGAACACGAGGTGCGCAAAGCCCTCTGTAAAAGCCTCTGCGAGGGTGATGCTGTCGTCCACGCATCGCTCCACCACCTCCCTGGCTTCCCGTACGACCCACGCAAAGTACCGACAAGCCCTGCTAGCATAGCCCGAAGCGAACTTGACGATGGCCTTCTTCATATTCTTCTGCGCGATATCGGAGAGAAAACCGCGCAAGGATGTGATTCACTACACCACGCGGGGTACCCGATATTCGCCTACGAACCTACGAACGATTAGTAGCAGGGGGCCGAACGAAAAACCCTTGAACAAAGTTAACGGATGCAAGAACGAAAAACCCTTCAACAAAGTTAACGGATGCAAGAACTAGGTTTTGCATAATTTCGCAATGCACGCTAAATAGATGCGGACCTGAATATGAGCCCTGTCCAGGCACTCGAGGGCGTCGTCGAACAGCCCGCGCACTATGTGTCCGATGCCCGCATCCTGGTCATGCGCAAACGCGTTCACCCAGAACCCTTCGTACATCAGCCGCAGGCACAAGATCATGATGCCCAACGGCTCGGTGGCCGGGGCGCTGAGAGGACTGCGCAGGCATGTGGACGAGTAGCAATTGCCATGACGAAGTCTTTTTGCGGCGTCCTCCTCCTCGGGCGACGACCCCTTTGCAGGGCGCCTGCGGCTGTCCCAATCTTCTGCCTTTCCGTGAACACGGCAAAATCCCTTGTTTCGGCTGAGAGCGCAAACGGGCTGAAGTGGGGCATCCTCGCCGATGTGGCGGCCGAAGGTTACTTGATCCAACACCGAATCCATGAGACCCCGATGGTCCGGCTTCGTGCGCTTCACAGACGCGACGACGTTGACGCCGTGTGAGGTGTGGTTTCGGTTGCGATACGATCCGTCGAAGGAAATCTGCCGGGTGGTAGTCGTGCGCGCGTAGCGGTGCAACACGGTGAATAAATGCAAAAAATGACGAAGGCGACAGCGATGCTTCGTTGTGTGTGCGTGGGGGGCGAAAATGCCCAATTATCCTAACCCCAATTGCACCGGGGAGATTCCTGTCTGAATATCCGGTTGGGGGTGGCGTATCATAAAGTAGCACTGCACACCAGCGGATAAACACTTACATTCACGAGAGTCGCCACGACCTTGCCGCCCTCCAGTTGGAAACCAGGACCCTCGCGCTTCGCTGTCTTCGCCGCGATGATGCCTGCCGCGATCTCCGGGTAGGTGGTGTTGTCGATCGATCCGTCCTGCACGGTCCCAAACAAGCGTGCGCGCGCGAGCCAACGTAAATTAAAGTTTCACGCATCCACGACCATCTATAAACGAGAGAAGGATATTTTTCGCGTGGGGTTCTCTTCACGTCCGACTTGCGATCTGTCTGAGCACCCCCGGTCATGAACTAACCTTGACGCCGACGCCATACTGCTTGAGCTCCTCCAACAAGCTCACCATGTGGTGGGCGAAGAAGTGCTTTTCGATCGGGATCTCTACTGTCCTCCTCCCTGGCTCGTTCTTGATACTTTTCCTCACTTCCTTGAACATCTCTTCCCAGGATTCGTCCACCGCAACTACCGTTTCCTCGATGTGCCTCTGAAGCGTCCTGCTTGTGGGGCTCTGTATGTCGCCCATCTCTTGTGACATTTCGACGTGCTCGAAGGTGCTACCCGCCAACAAGCACCCAAGACTGAGTGCCTTTGAGTCCGGCTTTTCCACCGGGAGGCGCCCGAATACGGCGCCGCACGTCCGGCACTCCGCAGAGAAAGACTCATAGTCCGATCTGCCAGCCCCCAAACTGGGGTTGATCAATGGACCTGGACACCCACAAGACTTCTTGTGTACCGCGCCCAACATGTTCAACAGTCCTGACACAGAAACCGGCACGCCTACGTGGTTGTTGCTTTCGGAATCTTTGGGTTTCGGCCTCGAGTACTCTTGTGCCCTCCTCGATTCTCCTGTGTCGCTTCCGAACATAAAAGAAGGGCAACAAAAAAAAAAATGGCAACGACACCGGACCAGAATGTTGATTGCCGTAAAAAAGACACGACACAGGAATGAGGCGCGTGTACGGACACAAGGAACACGACACAAAGTCCCACGCCACGTCATTGGGTTATTTTCAAGGGAATCCCTTATGTAGCCCTCCTTTCGCTCGGCAAAATTCAACCAGACTTACAAAAATACACAATACGATGAAAACATACCTCGTAGACGGTGTGGAACGAAGGACGCCTCGAGCACCACTGCCCGTGCCAACTTCTTCGCCACTACTCGGGGTCGTACGTCTAGCGGCGCCCGGCGTGACAATCGGATCCGCCCTCCCGACTCTTCTCCTCCCTCTCGTGAGACTCTGACTTGGTCCGTGCTCCACCACTGGACAAGTGGTTCTCCAAATCTTCACCACGGGGTCAGCTGATGTCCACGCGCTGCCGGTCGAGACCCGCGTAGGCAACGGCTCGCCTATATGAAGCGCATCGCACTCGCAGCGGAACGCCAAGCCCACCTCGGCCTCGACTCCAGGTTTCAAAATGGGGCTGACCACGGACTCCAAACGGACGCACCACCACTCCGAATCTTGCACGGGGTGGCGGCAACGGCGGCACTTGACTTCCCGACGCACATCCGAGTTGAACTCCGTAACCTCCCTGCCGTGTTCCAAGAAACCGTATCCCTTCGGAAGATCCGTAGGCAAGGCGGTCTTCAAAGCAGTGCTCGCGGATCTGTCCAGACGAAAGACGATAACCGAATGTAAATCGACGACGACAGATGCACGCAATGTCAGTGAAAGGGATACTAGTGTAAGCAGGCTCTGTATCGTTTTATTTTTGTTGTCATGGGCTGTCATTTTCCTGTCGGTTATGCCGTCGGACTCACAGCATAGGTCCCTTGGGCTCCGCGCTTATCACGTATTCTCTGTGGTGGCATTCCTCCAGGGCAAGATGAAGCGACCCGAGTCCCAGCAAACACCAGTCGTCCTTCATGTTGTGTTTTTTTGGAATAATCCCAAACGATCGCAGGAAGATGGTGTAGGCATGATACCGCTTCTCGCCCCTCCTGTCCTTCAGGATACGCCTGATCTCCGTCTCGTCGTGATCGAGTAGTTGGGCGAGATCCCCCGCTCCAACGTAACAGTTGCAGGTACTGGTCGAAATGAGCGCTTGGAAGACGACATTGGTGGCGAGTTCCTCGCTGCGCAAGGTAAAAACGGGCGCATTTCGGGATGTTACGTTGGTTGGGTTGTACAGGTCTGGTGTGGGGGCGTAAGCTACTGTGACCAAAACACGCCCATTCCGGGTGCACTCGAGGGATACGATGTTATTTTCAAAATCCGATGTAAACAAAATACGATATGTGCGTGGTTGGTGGTTGGGGGGGGGGGGGGGGGGTTAGGTGTACCGACTAAAGGCGTCAAACAAGGTTCCCGACAACCATTATGTATGCGGCAGGGGGGGGGAGGAAGGTGACCATGACACTCTCTGCACACTGACCCACAGGGGACGCATACTGCTGCTATAGGAACACGGTCCTTCGAGGCGTGAACGCATACCTCCATGCCGTAGTCCCGGTTGTCTCCATCGGCGGCTGCCCGATCGGCGGGCAAACCCCAGGAGATGGGGTAGCAGTTCGCTCAGGGCGGCCTACCTCCCGGACATCAGCCATGGGCTCGTCGTCGGAATCGGGGTCCGCGCCAGGAGCGTCGTGTAGTTGTACGTCTGCCACGCTGTCACTACACTCTTTGTCTGGGGACCTCTGTCCCTCTCTGGTAGCCAGGGGGGGAGACCGTGGAGGCCGTTGTTCGCCCGTGGGTGTCGGGGAGGTCGGTGATGCAACACCTGATGAGCCACTTGTGCTAGGCGAAGGGTGCGGTATAGCGAGAGTAGTTTCGTCGTTGGCACCCCTTCGGATTGGCTCCCTGATATCCGCGTACTTCGCACCACCCCCCCACGAAGGCATCGTGTCCCCCGACTTGCACACCGCGACGTGACCCGGCCTGAAGAAGATTCCAGCTTTCTGAAGCTCCTCTTGTTGTGGCGAGAGTCTGGTTTGGCGCCTAGTGCTGCCGCTGGGCTGTGGTTTTATCGACTCGGCAAATGAGGCAAGCCTACCTCTATCAAGTTTCAGCACACGTTCTACGCTCGTCAATCTGAGCCAAAACTCCCCGGGTTCAAGTTCTCCTAGTTTTTCGATGACTAAGCCAGCGTCCATCGGTTGACGCTCGTCCTCCATGACCCTGCCTGCAAGAGAAGAATCACAATTTATATAGCATCGGGACGGTATGGAGGGGGGTGTGGGCCACAGTTGTACTACTAGGATCCTGGCTTCGCCCGCGTCAAGGATGTACGCGCACAGGCCGTGCTTACAGTTCTACTGTAGTCCACACCAGAATACACTAGTATGTCAACAAATATAGAAAGTTCAGGGGAAACAGCATCGATTATTGTAAATGGAGTGTACTAATACGTTCGTTAGTTGTTTTCCGACGCCGTGGAGCAGCGATATACCGCATTAGGCACGAACTATACCCACAACACCCGTTCCTATATGTACCCCGTGTACACGCAAGGAACCGCGGAAAGCTGTATGTAACCTATTTATTTATTTATTTATTTTTGCCTTCCGACAATTGCAGATGTACCTCAGAAAACTTTCACTTAATGTCTCATACTCTACATGAATATTAAACCAATACGAAGTACAACAACATATGTAGGACTTATTTCTACTGTCATTTACATCGTAAAAGTATCTCCTCTTCAACTTACCAATGACAATCCTGATGGTATCCTATATGCGTTCGTAAGCTTGCTAAAATACTACTNCCGCGGAAAGCTGTATGTAACCCATACTAAATCCCTATTAATAAGGCTTTTACAGCAGAAGTACGGGAAACGCCGTAACTCGACCATTTCTTAGATCGAGTTTAGGCATTCTATATTGTATGAAAGCTATTCTTCCGGGCCATCTTATGAGCCATCTCTGACCCCTATTTGAATATTTGGCGGTTACAAAAACGCCCATATAGGTACACTTACCGCGGACTGCCGTAGGGGATTTTTTGTGTCACACATAACTTTTGCATTATACGGTCTTTCGGCTCGAAACTCGGTGACTGTGCAAACAGAAGCAAGTAGAACCATATGCAACCGAGGGCCTCGGCCGCTACCTGATCTATCGACACCTGGATGTGTGTTTCTGACCCTTACGGGGCCGTTTTGCGGCGTCACGGGGCCCCCTCTTCAACGTCGCAGCACGCATAGCTGGCTACACGTATCTGATAATCTGACGGTACCAGACGACTCGCCTGCTCATGGGCTGCATATAAATATAGAATGCCTCGACTAACCCTCTCTGTAACCTAAGCTACGGCGAGAGCGCCGCCCTGTTCTGCTACTCTGATGCGAACAATTTTCATGCGGCAGCAGCAAATCTTGCGACCAGCACCGATTTCCTAGCAGGTGGTTGCAGCTGAGCTATCAAACTCAGCGGTCAGCAGTATTGTGGGTACACCAAACGGAACCTATCTTTTGTTTCATCCGGCGTCTTGTCGTCGTCTCGCAGTGGTCCCCCAAAGTGGAGGGTGCTGGTCTCTGATCGGGCGGTTTTTTGAACCAAACAAGGGTTTCCAGGCTGTACATTTTGCGATATATTTTGGTCTTTCCGAACCGTAACATCGGTTGTCTGCCCCCCCTTAACAGCTTTTTTTTGCAAAACAAAACAAAAAGCGTACCCCTAATAACGGGCCACACTTTTCGCAAAAAAAAAACTACTAAAAAAATGACACAACGAGTCCATCTCTATCATAGAAAAGAGTCAGAGACAGATTAACATCAACGCAGTAGTACTTTAGCAAGCTTACGAACGCATATAGGATACCATCAGGATTGTCATTGGTAAGTTGAAGAGGAGATACTTTTACGATGTAAATGACAGTAGAAATAAGTCCTACATATGTTGTTGTACTTCGTATTGGTTTAATATTCATGTAGAGTATGAGACATTAAGTGAAAGTTTTCTGAGGTACATCTGCAATTGTCGGAAGGCAAAAATAANATAAAAAAATGCAATTAGACCTATAGCGTCAGAGAAAACTACCTGTATGTCTACGATTTCCTAGACAGCCTATAGGGACAACTCCCCTGCGGGTGACAGGCTCAGAAAATATGTTTGGTAGCTGTCTTGTGCGTCTCATATATGTTATGTTGTGTAATTTCATGTCGTTAAATGTGCGAAGGGCACGGGAGAACATTTTATCATCATTGCCTCCTGATGACGTGGTCGCCGATAGAGGCGTATGGTTGATGAGGTTTCATCACCGACATGTGGGTATGTGTTAAATGCAACGGGTATGTTCACCTCTCTCGTCCATGTGTAGGCAGGAGGTATGGCTATCTCTCCCATTTGTGGGCAGCGCGGACCACAAGTAAAGACAGTGTTGTTTATCAGTTCATGCATGCTACATCACTTGTGTTTGATAAGGAGGTTGCGCGTGTGGCGTTGTGTCAATTCACCAACCGTTACCTTTTTTCGCGTCAATTTGCCAATCGTCACTTTTTTTGGTGTCAATCTATCTCAGTCCAAAATTTTCGTGTCAATTTAACGTGGGAACCCAGGATTGTGACGTCAGCACGTAGTATGTGCGTCTGTATAGGTGAGACTGCAGCAAANTTCGCGTCAATTTGCCAATCGTCACTTTTTTTGGTGTCAATCTATCTCAGTCCAAAATTTTCGTGTCAATTTAACGTGGGAACCCAGGATTGTGACGTCAGCACGTAGTATGTGCGTCTGTATAGGTGAGACTGCAGCAAAAGATGCTGGGCAGCCACTTCTCCCTTCTTCCCCTCGCTCCTCGACAAGCTTTTGCTTAGACATGGGTTGTAG